GCCGCATCTAGTTTTCTGACACTGGAACATCACGTTTTTAGATGGCAGCGGTTGTTTTTGTAAATATATCTTCCCAAGATTGATGTCCTCAACTAGAATACCCCTAATAAGTGCACAGCATTGGTCCATGAGATTTAGTTACATGGGAATTTACCGCCCTACATTGCAAGTCTTTTGCACTGAGGAAGTAGCGTGAGAAAAAGCCCTTTTTAATAACGCTTTAAATCAGTTTTTAGAGGGCGCAAGCTTAGAGCTACCCCAGCGTGAGTAGCTGGATTTGATTGATCACGCCTTACCAGTTTTGTAATCTATCTTAACCAAGCACTGCATCTACAATTTTGTATTTAACAGAAAATGAGTGAGGCGTATTATCGAACTCTTTCCAGCCATCGGTTTTATCAAACTGTCATTCGGCAGATCAAGAGTCACTTACGACAATCGATCTTTCAACAAATTTGACAAAATTATAGAAGTCCCTGAAAACGTTCGCTAAATATAGGCAGACGCAGTGTCAACAGTCTTTCCTCGAAATGCCTCGGGGAGGGGCGACAAATTCAGATGCTAGGCTGTCCATTGGTGGTGCATTTGCAGTAACCAGCCAGTAGCACTTCTCAGTAATGTGCCCACATTTCCTCCTATGTGAAAATGAGCAATAGAAATCATAGTAAGGGGATAAAAAATCAGGGAGCGAGTGAGAAGTGAGAGAGAAGTGGGGTCTGAATGTCGATTTTAATCCAGCTAATGTAATACCAACAGTCAGCCGAACGCTGGTCCTAAATTCTGACTTCTTCCTGGCTGGTTTCCTATCACCAATCATCGGCGGCAGCAAGTCTGTCATAGTAGTTTCCTTTTTATCGCCACTAAACTGTCTGTTCGCCGCTGTGCACCCGCCAATTAGGGCTCTAGACCGAGATGAATGCCCAATTTCCGCCGACAATTTGTCAAGACCGTTGCACACAACTTCTATGTGACGCAAATATTCTGGCAACTACGCCTGAAGTTAGCCAGCTGAGTTTGTACCTCATGACTTCGCTAAATAAGAATGTGCTTCATTCTGTCCACGCTCCGGAAAAGAAGTACCCTAATAGCCTTCGGTAAAGTCGGTTTAACTAATTTCATCCTATTTGGTAATTTCATAAATGTCCACAAAGTACAAGTGGGGGCATATTCGTCAGAATAGGATGGCTGATGGAGTTCTGGCGCTTAGTACAAGTACAGTAGCTGGGCTAGCTCATGAAATGTCAACCGAGATTCCGAGATGCGTTGTCGTTTCGAAAAGATTAGTTAGGGGCATCGAAAATCAATATGAAAAATTCATGCTTCATAAGTAGACATTTTTTGCAGTGTCATTTTCGAATGCAGCCGGAAGGAATTTCCTTGAAAAGCCGGCATGCTGAGATAGTTGAATCATACTAGAATTATGTTGCAGGCTGATTAGTTTTACAACCCTACCTAATTAATTTTTTTTAATCGGGAAGGAATTTAGGGATTTCGGTTAAAATTTCATGAGTTAGCCCACCTACTGTAGGCCAAATGATTAATCATAGTGAATATTGGTTATTCCGATTAGGCCGACTTTTAGCTACCTCGTAGTTGTAGTCTTTTTGATCATTTAGATTACGGGTGGTTTTAGGTGGTGTCATTTACCTACCATTGTATAACTTGAAATCCATCTAAAGTTAAATTAGGTCCTTGGATATTTCCTTAATACCTACCATCTAATCTTTCTTAGTCTCTTCAAGCTGAATCACCTTTAAGCGGAAGTAGAAACCTGTCTTATTCAATTCCACGTTCATTTTAGCCTTCTTCTACTCAGCCGCTAATCTGGCATTTTATTAATTTATGCATTCTTCCTTCTACCTCTTGTTAATCCCCGAAATTCCTCGGCAGGATGAAGAAAAGCCCACAATCGTCTGCCTGACCGTTCGACCGCCGGGGACGACGGTATTAATTGTGAACAGCGTAGCAAGGTAGTCGCAGGGTCAGCGATTGGCACCTGGGTTAACATGTAGTTACGTCAGACTTGCGCAGTATCTTTTGGACTCTCTCCTTCGGTTTTGTGACAGAGTCAAGAGCATTGATGATAGGAGCGAACAGGCGATTTCCAGGAAGCAGTTAAGAAGACGAAGATGACATCACTGTAACAAGAAATTTCTTGACCTGACGTTTCGGATTCTCACTCGAGCCCATCATCAGATACAGTCGCAAGTAATGATGTCAAGAGGACCGGAGGCGGGGTGGGGCACAGTGGATGACAGAGCTAGACCGCCGTCTACGTGTGTCACACATGCCTCGTCGGCGTATCATGGTCCAGGTTTTCACACAGAAAAATTAAATAAGGCCCGAATCCCAAATGAATGGGAGTGTTATAGAGTACGCATCAAGAAGAGGCTATTACAGTCTGAATACCCCTCATAAGTGGATGAGCGGGACAAGATTATGTTTAAGGCCATGGTTATCTACTCCGAGGAGCATTTGTGTTGAGCCAATTCGCTGAACATCACAGAACTTTGTGGTATCACAAATTTGGATCCTCCGTATTTGTACCAAGTAAAAGGGAACATTATTTTCATCATCTGATGATAATATAAAATGAATTTAAGGCCAATTTGCCGGCATTGTCAAAAAGGCACTGCATCGCCGTATTTTTCAATCCGATAATTACCTAAAACCATCCGCACGCAACAGCCACCGCAAGCTCTACTTATTTCTTTCGCTGGCACGCACAAATAAATATCACCAGCTACTTTCTTTTAGCACAATTGCTTCTCAGATTAAGTAACCCTCCCCTCCCCCCTTAAACTATACCATTGCCGGCAAAGCGCCTCAAGCCACGACATTTGGCGTACCGTGACAGCACAAAAGCGCGTCAGATTACTGGTAACGGGGAATATTCGCTGAGTGTCGTGGAGGTACGGTCCCCAGAGTCGGCCTCACTCTCCCTCTCTTCCCTCCTTCAGGTACCACTACACTGTCCGGAAGGGTCAGTCGTCTGACGAAGTGGATTAGGTGCAACTGGTTGTCGGAAATAATGAGCCCGCCTGCGCGTGCCACACAAAAGCGGACCCCCAACGTAACGCACCAGGTTTTCACACAAAGAGGATGCTCAACTCGGATGTCGTGTGCGTGTGACTGCCATAGAGACCACGTTAAGAAGGTGGCAGTGAACCGGATTCACAGCCCACCAGACGACCACTCCACACAAACACACGCTGGAAAGAGAGAGGTCGCAAAGCACAACGGAAAGATTGAGTTCCGTAAGAACAATCGTCGCTTTCTAATTTCCTCAGAAATTATCTACGAACTTGGAGTAGATCAGTTTATTCAAGATCTTTAGGCTCATACAGATAATTTTATGCATGAATATTTGGGCCAAAGTCCATCAGCCACAGCGGGTAACCGCGCAATATTCATTAACTGCGGACAGGCAGCTAGTAATAGACTTTAGGGCAAGGTGATACTGCTGACGAGCCGAACCGCTCGCAGCTGCGCCATGCAGCGGCACAATATCAGCGAAACCCGCCTGTGTGGGCTTTTGGCTAGTACCTGTGCTGTTATTACGGTGTCAACAACCAAAATTATACTACTGGCTGCCAGTCACCAGTTAAGTAATATTACGCAGTTACCCGCTGCGGGTGATGGACTTTGACCCAAATATTCATGCACAAAATTCTCGGTCTGAGCCTATAGACCTTGAATCAACTGATCTACTCCAACGTCGTAGATAATTTCTGAGAAAATTAAAAAGCGACAAATTCTAGATTGAAGTATCTAGCAGAAAGCATACGGGGAATTCTCGGGGACCCACTGACGAGCCGAACCCTTCTCAACTGCGCCACCCAGCTGCAGAATATAGGCGAAACACGCGTGTGTGGGCTTTCGGCTAGTACCTATACTGTAAGTATGGTGCCATCTTAACCTAAAGCAAGAACGATCGCTGAGCCCTTCCCTCTACCGATGTTGTTCTCTTATTGGCTCATTGCAATGAGTGGTAGTCTGGTGTGGAATGACAGCTATAAGCCATACCAGTCCTTCATTATTACTACAAATTTTAAGCCCTACTACTTGCCACCCCAAGAAGTGAAAAAACTCTCTTAAAATCCTGATTCTCTAGTTCAGATTGAGCCCTTTCTGCGTCTGCTGGTTCGTTTAAACCACGAGGAAACGTTTCAGACGGCTGCATAGAAGGTTCGAATTTTGTCATATTTGAACCCCCAAAACCCCCATGCGCCAACTTGTCGACAACATATAATACTTATTTTTCTAAGATAATCATCAGTGCGCAAATACGACGCTTCCACCCGAACGTGTCACGGTGATAGTTTTTTTTAAATCACTAAGACCTACTTCCCATTTCTCCCCATTAACTGACCATCAAGACGCCTTTTTACGATGTCAGTGGCGCCTGCTTATTTTCCATTAATGTGATTCGTGTCCATTTTCGGCACTCCTGGTGACTTTACGATACCTTATCGATCTGCCACAAAAGAATCTGGCCATTGCTGGCCTGTACGCGGAACGCACACAAACAAAACCTCTGTTTTGTGTTTGCTGAGCGCCGATTGGTTAATCCAGCCACGCGTTCAGCCTTGTGTGGTGGAGGGACCAAGTCGGCAGCAGTCGACGCCCTGACATGCACGCACACACACACACGGGTTACGCGCGCGCACGCATAACGGGGTCGTGTCATCTGCGAATTGCGTAACACAGCAACGGCAGCCACCCCGGGCTGCCGTTGATTGGGTGAGGTCTAGCAGGATTCATTTGCACCCCCGCCTCCACCCACCCACCGGCACTCATCCGGATCGAGAATTGCTTGCACAGTATTCGCACTTATTTGCCCCGGACAGCAATCAAAACAGACAGGGGCCGTTGCGACGCATGACACTTTCAGTGGATTTATCGTATCTGAAGACTTGAGAGAAGACAAAAAAAGAGGGGAAAACCATTCCTCTAGGATTACAGAGTTTTTGATCTTCAAAGACGTCGCTTCACTAGGAATGTCAGAGGATCGGGGACAATCAAAAGCCAGCAAAGGGTTTGAAGAACCGTGGGTAAGAATACTTAGTGTAATTTAAAATTAAAAATCGATCGCCTGCAGACAGGCGTCTTTTACTACTTACAATTTCGTTTGCAGTAGATGCTGTGCCTGCTAGGAATGCTTGTGTCCGTTAAATTCTATTAGACGAAGACTGCCCAGTTTCCTATTTGCAAGTCGAAGTACGCCTAATCAATCTGAAGTCGGTATGAATAGAAGCGGTCTTTTCATAGAAGTCCATAAATGCTCCTTTCAACTAGGTATATCTAAAGCTTGCTTCTAATGAGCACTTAAAAATTACACCGCAATACCGTTTGCCACCTAAAATTTACAAAGCATCTTTGCCCAGAATTTGACGGATACACATTAATGCTATGCACCCAGTAACTTTGTTCGTGGGGAGAGAGCTTTCATAGAAGAAATTGCTTATTTTCACGATGTCTTCTTCAAATCCGTAAACTCCCATGTTAGCCCTTACTGTTTTTCAGAGTATAATCTTTGGATAATTTGAAGTTTTCTTAATACGGCACCGGAGATATTTGACGTTATTGAACTAAACCCTGTCTCATACGAAATTGCCAAATCGCCTATTCGGTAGTGACTACATAAAATAAGAGAAAACGTCTCCTACAAATAAAATAGTTTTGAGCGGCCTGACGATGAACAGTCCAGTTTTGGCACATCCCATATTTGCATAACTGACAGTATCTTTTTGATGGTAGAGGTTTGCTCATCAAACGCGCTACGAAACTCACTTATTCCATTGTGCCTCGGGGCTCTCTCTCTCTCTCTGGAGCCCAACCGGCAGTCGCAGAGAGGAGCAAAATATAGGCAGAATAACACTACTGGCAGAGGCATGGGAGACTGAAATTGCCATTTCTGGCTTGTTGGCCGTCGTCAGCCAGTCATACCTAACCCCGAAGTGTGGAGCACCCCAAGCTCGAACTGGCCACCTGTTAGTTAGAAGTTCACGCCTCTAACCACTGCGCCACAAGCCCGTTGCCCTGTCGGTTTCGATCGGGAATATACTGGGGTACGGGACGCTCACAGATCGTTCATACGGAACTCATTCGTTCCGTTGTGCCTTACGGGCTCTCTCTCGAGCCCAACAAGCAGCCGCACCGCGACGCATGACATAGGCAGAATGTTTTTACCGACAAAGACAAGGGAGACTGGAATGGCCCTTTCTGACCTGTTAGACATCGTCAGTCAGCCATACCCACCCCGAGGTGTGGAGCACATAGGGACATACCCTCACCAGGACATGCATTACCGTTGTGCTGTGGAGCCTCAAACTCTGTTTCGGGCCAGTCGTAATCTTGACCACCATGTGGAACTAGAATTATAAACATGCGCCAACACACAATGCAACTTGTTCTTAAAGACGATCTGTCAGATGGACCAAATCCCGCTTGAGTTGTGCCTTCTGGCCACCTGATAACCTGCAGACCGAGCTTCTTCTCAGACAGTAATGGCACACACCGATCTGCAGGCTTTTCATTCGAAGCTGGCTCATTCGGACGTCCGACAGAACGCCGTCTCTCACAGGGTCATTAGGGCATGAAACGGACTCCCTGATGCAGTGGTTCTTTCCAAAACTGTCAAATCCTTTAAGTGTAAACTAGATACTCATTTGCTGAGAAACTACTGTACATATGATCACGATTGTTCAAGCGGCGACCGTTTGCGCCTGGCTCGCAATTACCGCCAACTTTTGAATTTTCGCATTTGCTGATGTTATTATTGATGCTATTTCTGCTTATCGATATAATTAGGGAGCTCAAGGGCGAAGAACTCATTCCCTTAGTAAACAGACTTAAATACTGAATTTCGTTTTGCATTCACTTTTCATTCGAAGTAATGAATTCTACTTAGCAAACCGTTTGTCAAATAGGACGTTTACCATTCTGCATAACGCATGCAGAAGACAGAATATTAATTAGGTAAGGGAGTGCCTATATGGTGCACTTCTTTTTTGTCGCAAATAAATCCCTCTGGATGTCTTCCTAAATTAACATTGACATTTTACCGAAGGAAATTCAAAACGGATGTACGTAGGCTTTTCGAAATATTTATCCTGCTGGTATGGGAGTTGTCTGACTTATCCAGTAGGTCTGAGCTCATCGAAGCGAAGGACTGAGTAGTTTATTCGCAAATGTTTTTCAGGAGTGTGGTCGGCTTAGGGATTGCTTAAAGTATCCAGAAACAGAACTTTCCGTTTTTATGATGACATGCCGTCTAGTAATGTTCTCTGGTCCCTGAATCTTATTGGTTAATTCAGGAATCCAGAGTCAAGCCGTAACCTTTTTCAATTATTTGTGGACATCGTTAGAAATCATTTGTTTTGTGCCTTAAACGTGCGTCTTAAGACGGACTGGGGTATCAGTTTCAAAATTCACGCAACGAGGTTATTTCGTTTTATATGACTATCGCCTTCCTTTAAATACGCTCATACATACTATGTATGCATATGTATCGAGCTGACAACTAAGTAAGTTATAAAAGGAACGGTATGAAGTTAAGTGCCCGAGACATTAAGTTTTGGGGTCCAGATCAAAATTTTTAATAAACGTTTGAGTCAAAAAAAGTCAACTCCTGTGGAATAACCGCATAATATATCACACGTTGTGCCATTGGTGGTATAATCTATAGCTGACACCCACGTCGGAGGTACAGTATAAGGATCTGTTACATACATATATGCTGCAAGTAAAGCAAGTTTTGGGAACGAAACAACCTGTTTTATGTACATTTTTGAACTTGGTTCGCAAGACCGCGTCAGACCTATGGGCAATGTATGAAAACATTTAACTGTAACCCTACCTTTCAAAAGATTCTGCGGTTGATTGGAATTCCTACCAGTAGGCATCCAGTGCAAACAGTGGGAAGGCGAGCAAAACCAACACCGACCGAGTAACCAAAAGCAGTGGATGTCTACAGGCACGAAATTCAACTAACAAAGGACGATTTATTTAGACATATCTAAGGGGCAATTGTATTTGTTCAGCGCTGACACTTTTGATGGCGATTTGGACAACCCGGTTCGAAATGTCGCTAAGCAAATCCTACTTTATTCCCGGATATTTATTTTCAAAGGCCTCCCTTGTCTTTCTCAGTAATGTTTTACCGGGCATTCCAGTAAAGTGTGCCCTGTTATTCAAGGTTTACTTTCGCTGGCAGAATAACGCTTTATCCTCGTTTATTCTCAGCCAGTCATCGTAGATGCCTGTGATAACCAAAGCACTGAAGATTCTGGAAGCGCAACAGAAAATTATGACGTTTCAATTCTACATGAATCATTATAATTATATGACGGTAATTATGGGTTCTCCAATTACCTTGGGAGACGGAGTAATCAGACTTTTAAGTGAACAGAATCAAAAAAACGTATTCACATTAGAAGCCTGTTGGGATGTCTTGTCTTGTATTGTTATCCCACAACCTTAATAAACGAAACAATACATTCTCTTTATGCTTGAATTAAATTGCTTAATTATCATGTAGAAGTGCAAAAGTAGTTGGCGAGGTAATATGCCAGTGTAGTCTGAAAATTTGTGAAAAATCGTATTTGGCACAGTTAGCAGTAGGGTGATGCCCTTTGTGGCTTGGTGCCAAAATCTTGAAGGCGTTTTTGGTCGTAGCAATGCGCTTTGGATAGAGACACAATTTTCGTTTAATTGGCTGTCTAAAGGTCATCCGTACATTTATAGGCACATTTAAAAGACGCATTTTAATCTGACTGGTGGTTAGATATTACGTCCTGTGTAGACTGAACACCCTTCAAATTATGCCTGCAGGCAAGCACTGGAAATTATTTCTTTTAACAAATGCGATTTTATGCCTTAAAATAGCTTACAGTTTGAAGAAAGGCAGCTTTACTTTCCGTATTTAATTCACGTAAATCGATGAGACCTAGCAATATTCAGACAGAAAATAGTAACCGTCATGCTTTGTTCCAACAGCGAAACTTTCGGAGATGGTGGCATTGAGTTCTTTCAAAAAACCTTTTTTCGTGAAAAATTATGACTTACCGCGTTTTGTTTTAAATCCACATAATTGCCAGGTTTATCATTGTGTAAGGCGCAGTCTGTTGAGGTAAAGCACATGGAATGCGGATTTCTTGGAAGTTTAAGAAAGCCTTTTTGTGCGGTCAACAGTTGCCAGTACTTAGTCATAGCATTCCATGGTCAATTATGGACCAAACGTAGTTCACGTATTGAAGTTGCTATTCCTACGATGCAGAAAGTGTTCCAAAGATTGTATAGTACCTCAACGACTTGTAGTTACAATGACGTTTCTTGAGACATTTAGCTCGCAATTTTAGGGCACCGTCATTGGAAAAGCTAGATTCTTAGGTCGGTCCGTGTTAAGGATCAAGAGAATTCCGCCCGAAAAATAGAGTGTTACGAACGGCATTTGGCAAAATATGTGGACTGTGCACACGTTCCAACAAAGATTATGATTTATAGATGTCTTGGTAGATTTTGAATAATTCATATTGACCCAACTGTGAACACTTGGCGCCTCGGTAAAATTCGAATCCACGAAAGCAACGGGGAGGCGTTAGTTTAGCCAAGTTATAGCCACCTGATCTACGAGGCCCACACAGAGACGTGACTTTACTCCATTTTGGGTCAAGTTACTCTCCCAGCTGAGGTGGCTGGAGCGTTGGCTATGCTAAAGCCTTCCCCTCGCTGTCGGGGTTTGGAGTCCCACTGAAACGCAGAATTTTCTACATTTGGGTCAATATGAAAATTTTTGCAGCATGACTAAGCTTTACTTAAGTCAAATGATTTGATAAATCCCCAATTTTGTACATAAATTGAACTCCACAAATTCAAATGTTGTAGTTGTACACTATGGCAGTTTACTAAATGCGACGTTGTGCTATGGCTTGTCATCATGTGGAGTAACTGTACCATCCCCTTAAAATACCACAGTGACTGGCCTCACTTGTTTGAGAGTCGGTCAGGCCAAACACTGCGCAAGTGTTTAAAGCGGAAAAAAAATCATTTTTAACACGATCAGACATCCTCACAATATCATTATACAATGAGGTCATACCCAGGTGCGGTCGGGCTAAACGAGTGGATTGGACGAATGGGTTTCACACAATGCCATCGTCGTTGACCAGAATATATATTGCCTACACCTAAAGGTCTTTGATGAACAAGAATGCAATTCAATTGCCTAACTCAAGCCCATGAACCATGATGTGTGCCAGTTTAACGCGGAATATTGTAAATTAATTAAACAGTGTATGCGAAGTCTACTGTATTTTACCAAAACAGTGGACTAGTTCCACAACTATGTTGCTATCAATATCCCGAAGAAATTTGGGTAAGACACTCGAGCTTACAGACATCCTAAAACACGCAGTATCTTCTGGCTGACATCCTTCGGATTGAAAAGTTTGTGCCACCACGTAGTAAGGTCTTATCACAAACAAACGCCTAGGGTGTATTTTTACGGGTTGATGCAGTGGTAAATTACTGAATGCTTATACAAGCGCTGCCCTTAACAAAGTCGGCCAAACCAGGAAAGCCCCCAAAGGTCCGAAAGTAGGTTGATCCTGCAGACAATGAATAAAAATATTTTGAATATTTGCATCAGAGCTGGCTCCCCTTGAAAACGGTTTTTATGCCTTTTATAATTTATTTCGCATGATGCAGAGATTCCAAAGGGACCGCAGAGATGTTCCCTGGAAAGCGGGTATTCAGACCTTCAGAATATTTCTCATCCAAAACAGCACGTGTTAGGTATGATGCTGTATCCGGTCTCAGGATCATTAGATAATTGTACAAACTTTTAGCACATTTTATAGTCAAAAGGCTTATATATTTTCACAGACGAAAGCTACTTGCGATAAAAGACCCAACAGGCTCACTGCTGTGGAGTTCTCATGAACAAACGACTGGGGTATATGTTAGGGGCTAATTCAGTAGTAACTTGCTGGATGATAGGAAGAGTTGTGCCCTTTCAAAAGAAGTGGCCCTACCCAGGCCGTCAGCCTACAGGCAGTCTCGTTCTGCCAGACTTTAAGAAACAACGTTTTTCGTTTTCTGTTTCTTTCGACAACCCACTCGGATGGAAATAATGTCGTAGGTGTTTAGTTTATTTCTCATTAGCAATTTCTTAAATACGCGTCTAGGAGCATTTGCCGAACGCCCAGTTTGAAGCTAAAAGAAACTTAGATATTCTGCCTTAAGGAATAGATGATTTAGCCCCAAAGGCTGACTTTACGAAGTCGAATTCCCAACTCTGGTATCCTGTCATTCTACACGCGTCAGTCTAAAGTGGAGGTTTATATGTGGCCATATTTGCTGATCGCATCGTGCTTACATCAGTAATTTATAATCTTTATGTCCGCGTTGAACTCCAAAAATTGGCTAATACAAATGACAGAAGTGCGAGCTCATTAAGAATATATATTTCTCTGACCCCTAAATGGATATTTCCGCTAAGTAAATGTGCAAAACCTCGGACTATCACCGTATTTTCATTTAAGAACGGCCCACTTCGCTCAGTGCGTGTTTCAAGTTAATAATTCCGCAAATTATCAAGGAAATTATTTAAAGCCAAGTGCTCCCGTGCAAAAAAAGACGTCAGTCCTAGGCCTAAACCAACAAGGACAAGAGATACTGACATGATCATTTCTGGCTTGTAAGTCGTTATCAGGTAGTCATATCCAATCCAAAATCATGCAGCTCCGAGAATCAAACGTGCGATCTGTTGGTTGAAAGTCTAGCGCCCTGATCATTTAGCCACGGGCTCGTTGTCCTCTTGGTTGCTACTGAGTATATTCAAAATGGTAGATAGGGGCGCGCACCAATCGCACTGGAGAGTTCACCCTTACTCAAGAGAACATCGAGCCCGCGGCTCAATGGTCAGTGCATTGGATATCTGACTAACTGTTCGTACGTACGAGCCTCGAAATTTGCATAACTAGGGGTTAGATATGGCCTGCCGGTAACGGCTTGCAAGTCAGCAATGACCATTCCAGGTTGCCCTTGTCTTTTTCGGTAATGCTATCCTTGAGAGAGGGAGAAAGTGCCCGGAGAGGCAATGGGACGAGTGAGTCCCGTAGCTCGATAGGTGAGATGGGCTATCTCATGAAATGTCAGCGGAAATTCCAAATTATGTTCTTTATTAGTAAGGATTGCCTAGGTATGCTTGTAATATTAATTATCATGCAGTAGAATCCTAAGGCTTTCGGACAAACTTATAGTCGATCATCTGCAGAACGTTCACTCACAATAATGAGTACCTAATTTATTTCATTTTTCCAATTGATCTTCAGGGTCTTTATAAATTAAAATATATGTTATAGAAAACAAACACAACAATATTATTCCTTGTACGCATTAGACCTGAGTCCTCACAGAAACCAGTGCATGGTAGGATTGCGCGGATGCCAGCTTAACGCTGTCATATTTTGGAGTTTTGCACAAACTGAAGATTTTATGAGTCTCACTTTTCCTCTGTAGTGTAATTTCGTAATTTAGACCCTAAATTCGAATTTCATCAGATGGCAGCAGTAAAGCGGTTTTCATCAGCACTGAACGCCCCCTTTTTACCAAAGGCAGTTAATCCCTTTAGACGTACGAGAAAATGTATCCTCAGGCCTTTGCAGAGCTAGTTGGCAAGCGCATGCCTACTTTCCGCAAATTAACATCCGACAAATGCAATTAGCTGAGATGCTTCTATCTGGACACAAAATTGCGGAGAACGCGACTAGTTAGTGTAGTACGTGATCTACATCATGAAACGTGATTATGTGAACTGATATGATAACTGTTAGGCACCTAAAATGTTGCGCATTTTGCCCACTCGTCCAGAATCCCATGGATGATGTCCTTTTATAGTTTAGAGTATTTTCCTCAGTAATTTACTCAGACAAACTGTTTATAAATGTGAGCAGAAGTCTAAGTTCTCCTAAATTCGAGCAATTTTTGTGTTCATATCTGTCCTAAATTCAATTTACGCATCCGAGCGTGTTTTTCTTTTGGAGTAGAGTATGTAAGCCTCTAGAATTTTATCAGTCAGGAAAAGCCACATTAAAAATTGATTTTCAGTAGGACTTTAACCTTGAAAGGCAGATGGCGCACAAAGACGTTTTATCGATTTTTACCAGACGGATTTGCAAATCTGTGTGAATTCATGCCCAAATGTGTAGAAAAGAGGTCTTCGAAGCATCGCCTGCTTAAACATAGTAATATTACCTTGCCATGGGTGAACACGTTATGATGATCATCATCGAATGACAATTTTGAATCTTAAACATTTGGGACGATGACTTTTGTTTGGTTTAGTTTCTGTTTGTGCGTAATTTAGAAACGGCTTGGGTAAGATATCACCGGTTTGTGGAGTACGCCGGTATTTATATGGTCACTATTCTGTGCGTTCATAATCGTGAAATCGGGCCTGAAAGAAAGCAAAGAAAGCGAAAAGGCTGTAATATAAGGAGAAAAGTAAGTATTTCATTTCGCGGAGGAAGCATTGCCCGTATTTTTTCAGAAAGTTAGAAAACCGCCAATAGTGCTGATTTGTTTTTTTGGCTTGAACGTGTGGAGCTACATTTGCGGGCATCTGTCAACAGAATGCAGTACAAGTGCAGGTTTGCATAGGGAATTTACCAGCGAACGGTTCTCAACTGATCAACAACATATTTATTTTTGAATTTGGTTCCGGACGTTCATTTTTTTCAGCAATGAGGTTTAACCTTTGGGTAAGCACGTACAGAAAAAGAATATCGAAGTACTTGCTACCCCGGAAATCAAGAATTCACAGAAGTATCTTGTTTTTAAGGTTTCTGGTAAATAAAAAGTACAAAATCCTTCTTTATTGGAAATCGATTAAAGACATTGAAAAAAGGAACTATTTACTGATATTTCAGAGACATATTAAATTAAAAATTATTTACCATCAGAAAACTCTGCCTATAAAAGTGACTGAAGAAGTCTTTTGACATGCTCAAAATGGGGCGTAATCTTTTGCATCGGCCAACTCCTTTCAACTTTAGCTTTCAGTGACCGACCTGTCAACAGATGTATTTGTTGAAACATTTGTTACTTCGACGCCTTTATCAGCAAAACCAACGAAATCATCTTTGTTTTTCTTTAACGCGTATCAGACCATACAAAGACGAAAAAAACGTGTCTTTTGTTTTTGGAGGAAAGCTCATGAAAGCACATATAAAAATTAAACTTCTAGTAATAACTGTCCCTATTCCGCTTCGGCTTTTTATACGAAAATGCATCATATTTTTAACGTTTGCGTCCTTCTCAAAAGTTTTTTTCATCATTGGAATAGTACTTGTAATATTTATTCTACGTTTTTACTAAACAGGAGGTTGTCCATTACTAGTTTAGTGCCTTAGTGGATGCGGTCGGGCTGATGTCAGGTTAGCTAGTGACTGCTTCTTATATTAGGCTCATTTCACGTGTTAGGTCACCAGATATATGCTTTCCTACCTCGAATTAACACAGTCAGAGAAGAGAAATTTGTGAATTCGTCTATGTTCCTCCTTCTTGTGCGAGTGTTTTCTCAAGTAAACAAATGTTTGAAACGGGCGCGCATTTGGCACACAATTTTCTAAAGTTTCTTCTTTTAAAACTCCATAATATATATTTCTTACCTTTCACCGAATGAACACAACGACTTTTATTCTCTCTTGGCAATAGGAAAATATGCATTTCGAGTGCTAAAATGACTTATTCAAGCTCCATTTACTACAAACAACCGCTTGTATAGATCATTAACAATGGTGACACTTGGCATCCTTTTGCATAGGATGTCACTTTTGTGATAAGGTGATCAATGTGTGTTGATTCATTCAAAATTCAGCCTAAATGGGCCAGCAATCAGTAGTAGGGTCTGCTGAATCAGGAACCTGGGTATTGCTTAGAGACATGCATTCATTAGAGCAAAACAGGAAATGCGCAAATACCCACACCGTCAACACACTTCAGCACAGTCGGGATCGACGCGTCGACAGTGCGTAGACTGGGACCTAGCTCATAAAAGGTACAAAAATTTACGAAAGATTTCTGCTCGCTTACAATTTGACATAACCTAGTTGGTCACAGCTTTGAGATGATAATGGACGACCTTAGACTAATTGAAAGCATAAAAGAAAGGAGAAACATCGTAAAAACTTCAAGTCAGGGTAAAAGTCAGTAGGTTTGGTTTTTTTACTTCAGAATAAATTGTGGCGAGCGAACGTTGATTTCGATAACTTCTCGTCAGACCAGTACTGTTATATGGGACGGGGTACAGTGAGTGAGAAATTAATAAAAGTTAGTTTTTATAATACAGGCTAGGCAAGAGCGGAAGGGTTCAGAAAATTGTATGCGGTTAGTCAACCTTTGACCACGGTAAGCGCGGAGACCGAACGAGGTTCTTCTGGGGTCGGCTTTCGTAACCTGATGGCGGCCGCTTCTGCTGTTGCTAACAGTCGCTGGCACAGTAGCTTAGGGTAGCTCGGGGGACCTTATAATTCACACGAAATGCTTCAGCGGGGTCCACACGATGCCCTGAATCTACTGCATGCACAAAGATGACGCTGTCAGCCATGCGGGAAGGTACTCTCGTATTCTTTTGGAAAGGCGTCTACTCGTACGACCAATATAACTAGCTCCACAGGAGCACGTGAATGAGTAGATGCACATTGAGGCTGTCTGAGATGGCAGCCTAAAAGGGGTAATGTTTCCGTTGCAAATAAAAAAGACCACTTTTAAAGCCTTTTTTGCCATCGTTTGTTTATTTTTGGGCTCCGTTCTTAAATTGTAAATGCAAAACAAAGTGGCCGAACAAGCAATAAGCTACCTGTTAGGCATCATTACTGCGTTTTATGAAATTAAATTACACAGTTTTATAAATCGGACTTTTTAAAATTGATAGTATATCTTGTATTATAAAAACACCCTGCCTGCTTACACCATCCTTCATCTGATTTACGTGGTAAAGAAGAACCAATCGTCAAGTGCGGCAAATTCCGTTTCGTAGACCACTGAATTCCACATTAATCTCTTCTCATAGTAAAACACGTGATGATAAATAAGCTTGGTTTAGGATAATTATTAACACGGGAAACCTCCGGAATACAAAACATAGTGCATTTGGAAGGACAAACGTATTTACAAGTATGTTGGCACCTAAAAAAGAAAATCTTCCGCAACAGGCTAAGAGAATGAGAAAAATTCGCAGCATTTAAGTTGCGCACAGTCGGTCGTTTGAATTTTCGTCATCGCGTTTTATGAGTTTGAACATACGTTGTGCGTGTTGTGTTCGAACAATCAACCTGTGAGGTGATCCATCGACACTTAATAGCTCTTCATATTAAATGAAATCATTGATTCCTAAATTTACAGTCACCCGCACAGATTATCCTGAATGATCTCCACAAATAACTCGGCCAAAAATAGTAAGAATCGATCAAGAATGAAAAATTGGTTATCCACAGTCATAGAGACGTAAAACAATTTCGAGTATAGCAGAGCAGAATTTCATTTTAAAAAAGGACTTCCATAAGCACAGACGCTATACTGTATATGAACTGGTTAAAAAGAAGAAGATAATACGATGGCTGGAACAATAGTACTAACGCTCTACATTTATCCTCGAAGCGGATAAAAGTAGCTTGTGAAAAAGGGGTGCAGTGGTTTACAGCCACCTAAAACGGCACTTCCTGTACCCATTGGACTGGGATGATTGCGTCATCGTTCTCAGTCGAGTCTTTAATTGCTGATATTTCGTGCAGAGCGTGATAATTGTTCAGTAATTTGTCCTGTCGGTACTGTTACCGGAAGCTTTGCTTAATCGCGATCTCCTAGCTCGGGCAAGCTGTTAGCATCAAATATGGGGGGAAAGCATCTGCAGACTTGCTGATGGATTGCAGTCGAATAACTGGAAGTCAGTCAACTCGCGGTTCATGTGTTAGTTGCCTATCGCAAGAAGTAGGTTCTCTTTGGCCTTACAACCGAGAACGGATCCCGTTCTGTGAGTGGCAACCTAGGCCTTACTGTTGTTTCAACTGACTCCTAATGCTGCTGTTATGCGTTTGTCCGTTCATTAGTCTTGCGACAATAATACGTCTTTCAACCGCATTCCTGGCCGTTTTGCAGCTCTAACCCCCAGTGACACTAGACAATGGTCGACAGCTGCTGGAGCTCTCGCAATGGTCAGGCGATTTCATCAAAATTAAGTTCCAAGGCGGTTTCGCATCTTGTCTTATTTTTAAACCCGACAGTTGCCGAAAGTGTGCAGGCAATCGTTTGCCCTGTGTAGTCTTTGAAGTTTTTGTGAATAGATGACACTGGTATCTCATTGACTTGCCATTGGGAAATTCATATGCAGAGCGGTTTCTGTTAAAGTTCAGTATGTACGTTGCCTTCGCAACTTTTTCGAACACGTTGGGTTTTAAAACAGGGAAATCCCTGTGAGAAACAACACCAACAACGACGGCCATCTAATTGGTCGGACCTTCCCAAATAGCAAATTCCGTTTGGTAGTAAGCTGACACTTGACCCCTCCCCCAGCGATGATGAAGGTCTAATCCGGATAGTGGGTTCGTGTTAATAAAATAGCATCAATTCCAGACGCTACAAGGCTGCCTCATCCCCGCCTCGAGCAATCGGCAAGTATGTTGACACGCCGTTTACCTGACCGTAGAGATTTTGTCAAGCTCTAAATGTGGATTGGGACATAACTTGCGGAGTTGGAGAATAAGAATATTTCCCATGGCGACTAACTTTTCAGCGACAATACCAGAGTCCCGACTGCTACATCCTAGGGAACGGAAGTAAAGAGGCACGTGACAGCAAAGAACTGTCTCGACCTTCTTTTGCAGAATACCTACGACTCCGAAGTTTCTCCAAGAACTGTGTTCACGAACCGACAGCCATCTGATAACCCGAAACAGCATCCTTACTTTACGGACTTTATAGAAAACTGCTATGATGCAAAAAGAGAATGTGCCTCTAAGATTACTCCTTAAACGGTAGAATTTGGTGGCCACTTTTCATTCTCGAGGCACTGCAATCTGTCAGGTCACTTTGCTCTCACAGTTTACTCGAGTCGTGAGGTGCGAATCGTCCTGCTTCAACAGGTTAATTGAAATTTACTGAATCGCATGACCAAAGGTCACCCACATGACCCCAGCTGCCCGCATGGCTGACTCACACAATCGGTTTTGACCACTAATCGAGCGCAAACTCGACCTGTCCAAAGCTTAGTCGTTTATAGGCGCCAACAAGAACCAGTTGGTCATTCACTAAATCACACTAGAATACTTCGCCAAGTTTGCCTTTCTGAAATGAGATATGAAGACTAGTTTGGTGGTTTGTTTGCAATATAAATGGCATGAGGTGTAGATACGTGTGAGGAAAAGTTAACATTCATTGTAAAAAGGTCATTCAGCGAAAGGCTGCTATGTTTGCGGTGCCAAATGCCGCAGAATAGTCTAGAAAGGAAGCTTCTTCAGTCGCTGCAAATAGCATTTTGTTATGAAGTGAGCTGGTGTGTCGAGCAAACAGATGCAACTTTTTTTCGGCATAAATTCACCTTTACCGACTTAGCGGGCCGTTGTCAAAGTTTTCGGGACGAGGCAGGGACTTTAATAGAACATGGGTTAACGTTGTTTAATGCCAGCTTCCAGACGCTTCTTCTATTGATAAATCGGGGCCAGGGAAGGCGTAATGTCTGAAAAAATATTTGTGGATGCGTAGCACCAGGTTGTGCAGACAGATCTTCGCCACCCATGTTGAGACCAATCAGTACTGCTTGTTTTCGCACTCTGTGGACGACCATTCGGTGAAAATGGGCAAGGATTATTTGTTGATTATGGTTGACTCACCTTCTTCGAGCTAGATCATCATGCATACTCACAGGCATTCAAACAGACGCCGACTAGTCCGGTAAATGTTACCGCTGTACAGGAGCTAGTAAGAGAGCTTGAAAAAACAGAGTTTTTCTCATCTGGAATCTTGTTTCTCCACCCAGAAAGGAGACTTTAAAACACCAATACGTAGAAACTTTCCGCTGATTGACAAGCGTTCACTGTTAACCCGTGGAGCTAGACTGAGTTACAAGTAATCAAGTCGTGTCTGCGATCCGGTGACATTATTGATTTCCTGACTTCAGATGGCTCAAGTTTACCCTGACAAGTGCACTGACTGCTTAATCTGCAAACTATGCAGGACTTCCAATTTTGAATGTTTACTTTTTGGGGACATGGCATATCCTTAGATCTCATGAAAAGCCAGCGTGTTCCTGTATGAATTTCACATTTACTTACTCTTTTTGCATTAAAATCCTAAGCATAAATGCAGCGACGGAGAGTTCGTGATCACTTGGAAAGAAAAAAGTTTTACAACTGAAATACACACCCTCTTTGAGTAGAAAATTTGGTGCAGATGAGGCTTACTATAAAATAAACATAAAAAGAAATATTTTTGTATATGCTTTTTTACAAAACATCTTTGAATTTATAACAGAGCCGAAAGTCTACAGGAAAATGTCTACTAATTACATAGCCATGCTTATCGAGTGCGGTTTTCGAAAGCGAACGAAAAGAAATGCACTCAAATCTTAACATCCCGGCGTGCCTAAAATATCATGGGATTATGTCGCATGATAATCGATATACAAACCCCAAGTAAGTAATCCCTCCTAGTCGAAACCGCATTTCAGAATTTTTGTTAAGATTTAATGGGATCGATCGATACCTGTAGATGGTCATAAGGTAGTACTTAAAGAAGTAAAGCTCCCTTTTGATTGGGCAGATAGTATTTGATCTTGCTTGGGAGTACAAACGGACATGGGATATCCTAACGACGGACTGTGTTTGTTCACAAAGGTTCATAATTGGCGGGCGTTGACTTTTGATGTAAAAGCTGTCATTCGCGCTGCTCGATGCAGGGAGAAGAAGTCTTGGAACTGCGAAATCACAAAGCACGTGTCAAAACATTTTGTTCCAATCTTGGACTGAAGAGATTACTTGGCGGGATTGGCAAAAGTGACTGTAGGGTGATAAAACCCCACGGTAATTCATGGAAGTTAGCATGCTGGCGCTTTACTGAACTGTTTAATGTTGTCAATATAGACGTTGCTGATAGGGCATCACAAGGTGGGTTGTTTTCAGTTATTTCACGGTTTCCCGCCCTCCGTATGAATTTAAAAACTTTCAGCGAAAGGATTTGGCACGAACAACTTTTTAAAATAGTCATTGGGAGAGAGAACGCAGTTTAATCTATCTGCATGCTTGAAGACCTCCTAAGTGTACAAACCACTCTTTTATTCTGAGAGAATATGTGAAGTCCCCAGCGGCGAATTCCAGGCATCTAACTTCTAATATTTTTCGTAGTGAGGAAAAGACCTTTTTTAAAATACAAATTATGAATTACTGCCGGTTTCATAAGGAGTCTAGGGCGTGGATATTTCGAAAAAACATCCCTTATTTTGAAACCTGGAAGCTCAGCAATGCTTATTGAAACAACGCAGTAGAAATGTTTATCGAATTTGGATTGTTGAAGCCATAGGGATGATTACAGTTAAAGAAGGCTATAAAACTGTCCGCGCATGAAAGTTGGTTGATTTTGTTTGAAGCACCATCGGTATATGCTCATTTCAAGTTCCTGAGCAGACTAACAAATGAAAAGACCACCCCTTTGCTTGGATAGAGTAAAGGCTACGCCTTATCAAGGAGCAAGTGCTTGAACACTGCTCTGTGGGGGCAAAAGCGGACAACCAAACTACAATCTTTACTGATGACATTAAGTCATATTGGGGCCCGATTGTTAGTACAAATCAATCATCACGTCAGACAAAATTTCCAGCAATATATATTTGGAAATAGGTGACTTGAGAGAGTTCAGTCAAGTAACAAACATGTGACAATACACCGACTCTGTTTTTGAAATACTTAACCCATGCTGCCAGTCTCATTTTCTGTTTTATGCTCTGAAAAGGCGTTGCAATGTGGACGCTATTCTCAAACAAAATTTAACTTTTCCGGCGATCGATCTGACCAACATCACGTGTTTTCTAAAAATATTACATATAAACGTGAAATTGTGGTATTGAGAAGGCCCAGACGGCGTTCTCTTGAGCGAAGAACAGATGCGGGAATGGTAGTCGTCCTGATCGAAAACCACAACTCCAACTGTCTACGTCCTGTTTCAGCTTGAAATAATTTCGACAACCCAAATTTATCCTCTAAAATTTACTCAAATCCAGCAGCACCATAGGGACTAACGTTAAGGCCACACGCACGCATAAGTCATATAAATGTTTCTTAAATTTGTCGAAATATTGAAAGTGTGTTGACCGAAATATTTCGCGGTAAGCTCTTATGCCTAAGATGGGAACTCAATAATTCGATTCACTGATCTGGTGACGACGTTCAGGGATCTGCAAAGTCATTGACTTTTGATTTTTTAATTTACACTATAACTTCCTTATGTTCTGTTGCCGTTTTTATGCTCCTGCACGAGTTTGGACGCTCAGAATAACAGAAAAATAATTGCAATGGTCGATTAGTCGTCTTGCAATGGCAGAAAGGCGCTCACCGATCAAGTTACGGAACTCACTCGTCTGGTTTTGCCTTGGGACTCTCTCAGAAGTTCAACCAGCAGACGATAGGCGGCGCGCATTATAGGTAGAATGCCACTACCGACAAAGACAAGGGTGACTGGACTAGCCATTTCTGGCCTGTTAGCTTTCGTCAGCAGTAAAACCCAACCCCGAACTGTGCAACACCTGGGGCTTGGTCCCACAACCTGTTAGTTGGAAGTTCAACGCCTCTAAACATAAGGCCACGGGTTCTTTGCCTACATCATGCATCGCAATGCGGCTGCTGGCTGAACTCGAGAGACAGCCCTAAGGCAAAATGGGACGAGTGAGTTCCGTAATAACGATCGGTGAGCGCCCTTCTACCATTGTATATTCTCGATAGAAACCGACAAGACAACGGGCCCGTGGCCCAGTGGTTAGAGGCGTTAGACTTCTAACAGATCGCTAGTTCGAACCTCGTGTGTTACACACTTTGGAGTTTGCCACGAATGACTGACGACGGTCAATAGGCCAGAAATGGCCAAATTACTATTTCTCTTCTCGTTTTGCGTTACTCTGGTCTTCTTCCTACTCATAATTGCACCTGGAATTTGAACATTCGACCCATTCGTATGTATTATTTTTTCTTGCAATTTCAGTACGAAACAACACTACCAATTACGTTGACAGTAATCCTTTCCGTGATCCTCGTTTGTCTTGTTATCGTCCTCATCGTCCAATGGTGCAAACGCCACAGAGAAAAACGACGGCTGGTGAGTGCATGACCAATGCGTTTTATACTACTTCCAAAATGCCTCATTGAATCTGTTAATTTATGAAATGGTAGACCTGAGAATAGTGAATTCTGTCTTTGGGTTCGCTTTTGAGCACAGAAATATGGACTATCGAGTAACACCGATAGCCTTATGCTAAATTTCAGGGGATCCTTATCTCCTAATGCTGAGTCTTTTAGCCGTGACCCTAAATTTAACCCTTATTGTCCTAACTCCAATCCCGACTCTGACCCTTGCTCCAACCCAAACTCTCCATGCGGTTTAAGGCAAGGTCACCCGTGCCTAGCTATGGCCACCGCCAAGCATTCATACGTCATTCGCAGTGGGGCGTCTGGGTCCTATATATATATATATATCTTTCTCGGCAGAAAAGTCAATAAATAAAAAGAAATCCTGAATTAAAAAGTAATGTTTTATGATTCGGCTGACAGCCCCGCGGTTCTTCGGATCTGGATCGTAGGTAGCGCACTGGAAGAATGAAAAAAACTGTATATAGCTTCGTAAACACCAGTCAAAAGTCTAGTTTGACTAGATTACAAACAGCATAACGGCCTAATGATAAAACAACTTAGAAAATAGAAAATGGAAAATAGAAAATTGAACTCCGGGTGAGTAGAACAGAAGAGTCACACAAATCAGATGTATTTCCTGCGGCAATGGAAAATAACTATGAGGATGCAGCTTCTACGTAAAGAGGTGCGAAAAAAACGCCTGGTTGCTTCAAACAAACAGACGAAGGGAAGCAGTCGCCATTCCGTTCTCATAATGTCTCCACTTGATCAAGATTAGCGTCTTTAACAATGAGCGAGCAATCTAGCGGTTTATGGGTGCTTTTTTCGTAGGAGAGATCATGTAGGATTTCTGTGAGAAAGGCAAAGAAATGAAGTGGAAAAAGCTAATGAACGCAAGTTTGAACAGAACAAGCGCAAGTGCTTGAGCGAATTACGTGGTCCTCACAAGAGAAGTAACATGTTATTTTACTTGCGCGTTTCGACAAGACTAGGGCTCTCTCTCTCTCTCTCCTCTTTGCAGCATGTTTAAATGAACCTCAACTGGTGTACTGGACAGTCACTACAGCGTCCATGCTCTGCGTGACTCTAATTAATCGTTTGCAAATCTCAGAATTTGAAAATGACAATATTTTTAGATTGCTAGCGTAAACTGCTAACGGCTCATACACCATTCGCTGTAGGATGTCTGGGCTGTGTATATATATCCCTCGGCCGAAAAATCAACTAATAAAAAGAAATCATAAATGTAACAGTACTGTGTAATGATTCGGCGGACATCTCCGCGGCTTCTTTAGATCTGAACCATAATTAGCACACTGGATAACAAAACCGCATATTGCCAATAGAAGCGAAGAGCCGAGTCCCAGGAAGTAGTCTTGAAGAAGGAGACACGATCACCGGGACAAGAGCTTTATTAGCCTGACGTTTCGGAAGACCCACTGCCACGGCTAGAAACGTCTGGAGTCGTTTATCGGATCTGGTGCAGTTGCGAACAAAGCAACTACGTCGGAGAAACCGTAAGACAGCTCCGAACGAGAATGGCCGAACACGCGGCAGCGGTGCGCAGAAATGACGCCAGCTCTCAAGTTGCAGCTCATTCGACGAGATCCGGCCACAAATTTAAATTCGATGAGGCCGAAATTCTCGCAAGAGGTGACAACCGAGTGAGCCGGGAGCTACTGGAATTATGGTTTACTGGCCCCCAGTCCAACAACAAGTGCAACGATCTTCCCATTCCATACTCCGTTCTGAAACTTCGCCTAGGCGGGGTAGCAAGCCATGTGGGGAGCGCAGAGGTGAACACTCTTCCCAACACCGGGATCGATGCGTCAGATGGTCGAGCAATCATCACGCCAACATCCAACGCACGTGATGAAATTGCAGCAATTATCGACTCGACTGTCGGCCATCAAGCAATGATCACACCAAGTGTGACAATCCCGGATGAAGGGGAGAGCCGTGAACGTTCATAGGTATGCGGTAGCATGACTACTGCATCCTATAAATACCGCAGCCCCTTGTGCAACAACCACCCGTTTCTGCTCTTTTGTCTCTGATGATGGATTCGAGTAGGAATCCGAAACGTCAGGCTAATAAAGCTCTTGTCCCGGCGATCGTGTCTCCTTCTTCAAAACCGCAAATAACTTCGCAAATGCCATTTAAAAGTCAAGTCTTACACGAGTCCGTACGATGATGGAACAGCTTTACTTGTCTATACAATAGGTGCACAAATAGAAACATGGTCGCCTTTTCATAGTAGCTGGGGATCAGTTAGGCAGAAGAATCACACTAATCAGTCGTCCTTCCTGTGGAAACGAAAAAGAACTATGAAGATGTAGGTTCTGTGCGAAGAGGCGGAGACGAACGCTGGTTGCATTAAACAAACAGACAAAGGGGAGCAATCGCCAGTGCCCTCTCATCCTGTCTGCACTTGATGAGGATCAGAATCTCTAACTGCTCATCACTCGCACATGCACTTTTTACCCCGTTCCCATGTAGGTGTACAGGCCAGATGATAATTTATGGAAAGCACGCGTTAGCTCGTCAAATGCTCTTCTGAAGTGCACCGTGGGAATTTCCGCAGCTTTGTTTACGAATAGTTTAGCAGATTATGAGCTCTTTTGCCGTAGGAGAGAACAGGTCGGATTTCTGTGAGAAAGGCGAAGAAATGAACTAGAAGAGGCTAATGAGCGCAACTGTGAACAGAAGAAGCTCAAGTGCTTGGCGAATTAAGTGGTTCTCACAAGAGGAGTAGCATGTTATTCCGCTTGCGTGGTTCGGTGGAGCTTGTGCATTCTTTCTCCTCTTTGAGATGTGCTAACGAAGTTTAACTGATTCTCAACCGTTGTGTTGGGCATTTACTGCAGCAGACACGATCTGTGTGACTCTAATTAATCATTTGTACATCTAAGAAAGTTAGAAATGACAAGATTTTTAGATTGGTGGCATTAATCGCACAGTGTGAGCACAGGACATGATGACGTGAGGCGGTTCAAATTGCAATACAGCCATACATCTGAGCAGCGATGAGAGCAATAGCGTTAAATTTGAATGCAAAAAATGGCCCAATAGAGTGGCGGCCGCAAACAATGTCTGCGCCTCAACTATTGTGGGCTCGATCAAAAATTCTGAATTTTTGTACTGGTAAAGTATGTCGAGATTAGGCCAATCTGTCAACTTTTTTAAAAGGCACAGACAATGACAGTTTCTACCAAAAGGTAGCTGACTTCACGATAACAGCTAGCTGCTAGCAACTGAAGTGAAAACACCGTGTACGGAAAAGTAAACATTTTTCTACGGTCTTAAAAGGAGACTATATGGGGTTCATAAAACTTAGCGGTGGATTTGGGTCATATGGTTAACTTTACAAGCCACATTGGTTAATGCAGAGACATGACGTTTTATGAAGGGCCATTATACGGTACTAATAATATTGCATATGCTTGATATTACCATGCAACAGCTCTTCAGCTGCCAATCCCTGTATCCGTTGGTGGTCGACTGTAGGCGAATGTTTATTACTAAATTTTATGGCACAAAAAGCCGTATATTTGCAACGCAGGGCTTCTAAACCTGGTTCCATTTCCTCTTTCTGGAGACAGTGAGATTTCCCATGCCTGCGTCCGCCTGCTATTTGTGGACGCAAAATTTAACTTCCCATTTCCAAAAGAGACTTTGTTGCGGCCTTTGCTATCACTATTAATGTTTATTTAGTGTACAACTTACACAAATAACAAACTTTGACCTGTCCATTGCAATAGCTTAGGAAAGTATTTGGATATAAAAACTCAAAAAGTTCGTCCATACCTGGCCCGCTTTTCTTTAATATAACAGATTCCAAGTAAATTCACCTAAAACAAACAGCTTTCTGCGCCTCCAATCAATTTAACGAATACAAATTACAATTTTGACTGCGGGCCATAATACTCATTCAAACTTCGATTGTGATCACGATATTTTTTGTGTTCGTTCATCTACTGCATCATACGTTTAAGTTTAAAAATTTTGTTGCGACGAAAGCAACTTCAAGTTAGAAAACATAGGATAGTGTTATTTTGTGGATAGTTTCAGTCATCACGTAGAAATTCCATTTGAAATGCCTCAAAATACATTGTGGCTCTACGCTAAAATTCGAAAATTGGGGTAAAAAATCTATAGGCTGTGGTATGGTTTTAAAAATTAATCATACATTATTATTTTTGCCTCCTAGTCCTCTCATGTGTGAAATATTGTGATTTGAGGATTAATGAAGAAACCTGAGTTGGAGATCGGCAGGGCAAAGAATAAAAATTCGTTCCGCGCAAATTCACACTAGGTTAGGATTTTGTTGGAAGCTGAATTTCGTGCTAATTGGTTTCTCTGCTCCTTCTTGCTTCCATCTGATCGACCGCATGCCTCGCTCACTTGACTATTCACCACCTTCTGCTCGACTTCCTAATCTAGTTATCGCATGCGAGGCTAATGAGTCCAAAAGCGGACGAAAAGCTTTCAAGCTGAATGTGGGGCCATGAACTTTGATGACGGCCTTAAAACCTGCTTCGCCTGTAATAGTGGTCTTGATGAAATGAATATGAGGTCAAAATCGCGCCAGTTCGCAAGAAAAGGAATGTTATGGCCCTTAGATCAAAATGGAAAAAATAATCCTTGCTAGGAACTACCCTGCCAGAAAAGTAACCAACCAGGGAAAAATGCCTGAACACGAGTTTGTGAACTCGAAACAACTACTCGAGACTTCAACAGGATGATTTTCATAAAGACACGTACCTGTTCATTGGGAGCGGCAATCATGAAAGATTCTCTAACTATGAATTATCACGGTGCAACCACTCGAGGGAATATTGACAATCAAACGTGCGTTATTAGTAGAAAATGTAATACGCTTCAGAAACAAGCGCTTATGTTTGATAAAAGTCGAAGACCGGCGACGATTTTCTGAACTGTTGTAAAAAGCCAGATATCGTTGTAAGTCAAAACATTGCAGGATTGACGGCTAAATATTCCTCTGACGCCTTCTTTAGCAGAACCGAAGAACTACCCAAATTTAGAAATTGCAATATTCGTCCGACTATACGCACTCCTCTGAAACCTGCGCCTGCGCGTGATTGGGGGACATTGAAGTGAGAAGACAAAATGCTCGCATAGTACGCATGATTACGATACAGTTTTAAGGCAGCTAATACACATTACCAGTGGGCAGTACTCATAGCCTTTTCAGAGTCCGCAAATTTTGCTTATTCTGAGGTAGACCCCTGGAAAACACACTGTGCTGAGGCATGGACCCCAAGCGATGGCATCAGCGCACACTTGCTGAAATATGCTTTCTAACTCCGTGTCCATCAGTGTTTAAACTTTTAAAAGTGTCCTGCAAAGACGGTGTGGGCGCGTAGATAACGCGTTGAACTGGGCGTGTCTCAGAAGGGGCAGACTGTTTTAAAGACCAATTTCTTTATCACTGACGCATAAAATACAGTATTTCGAAAACCTACGCCTTAACAGGAGTAGAAAAATGCGTTTTATATTTCTAGAGGGCGTTATATGCATATTTTAGATAGGTAAGCATTTTAAGACCAAAACAAATATAATATAAGTGCAGCTTCTCCTGAACTGATTGCCCGCTCTTACCCTTAAGAGAAAAAAAAACTATGAATGGAGTTTCAGTGCTTCTCTCGTGCATAATTTCCGCAGACCCAGACGTCAGATCTGCATTCCCTAGTTGCAACCAAATTTCGTGGAATCTAATTTGAATTCTTAGAGACCCAGTGTATTTTGAAATTCGTAATCCATTAAACCCACAACCTCAGTGCGAAAAACAACTGGATGGTATAGCGAATGTTTATAAGCAATTTTTATTGATGAGAAGCAGTATAGGTCATCACTATGATCAAACTAAAATAATTATCAATGCCCCCCCCACCTGACTTAAATAAAAAACGGTATTTCGTGATCCACAAATAAGTTCGTATTAGCCATTATTCTAAGTTGGGCGAATTGGTGGAAATGTCGCTAAAACTTCGAAAAACGGATCGCTTTTAAATAGACTATTTATCCCAAATTTTAACAGTCACGTGTAATTATTCAATGATTTATATATTTCAGCAATTCTTATACGTCTCTTAGTAGCTAACCTTCCACACATAGCCATCCATGATAATATTTAAAAATCCAAAAGAGCTACTGTAATCATTGGTAGAACATTTTGTGGATTTTTAAGCAGCTTAAGTTACTTTTAGATGTTTTTATTAGATCTTAATAAGAATTAGCTTTTCTCGCCAAATAATTGGAAAATTACGCTAATTTGAATTTTCAATTCAAAATGAACTATTTTCTCCCGGTAAAACTTGGCGTTTTCAGATATTCTGGGAATCTGCATTATCTACTGAACCCCAGGTTCTGCTGACAGATCTTATTGGATGCAGTACCAGACATCCCATTAGAGGATTTTTCCAACAGTAGATATCCATATCTAACTTGGACTTAGTCAAACACTTGCTAGACGTTTAGAAAGTGGGTTTAAAAGAGAGTTCTCTTCCTATACAGCGTGTACATTAAATAAATAGTTTGAGGTATATTCTGGAAAAAGGCATTTGGGTACGTCAAAATCGTCACACCCTTGGGATAAAGATAAACTTTCTGGCAAATAACCGATCCAAATAGTTCCGGATACCGAAAAGATTCCATCAGCGGATCTTGACATGTTCTGATTCCCGCAATTCAGGAGAGAACTGTACGTGCCGTGATTGCTGTAGCCTCCAATAAAGTACGGTGAGTGACCTATCTCATGAAATGTTGGCTGAAATTCTGAAATGCTTTTTCGATTAGGAAGGAGTACTTGGTCGTGGTTGTAAGATGGTCTTGGAAATTCAAGTATATTTTATAGAAACCAAAAACAAAAATATGCTTTCTTTTAATCAGTCAATAGAGAATCACGTCTTCTTTATATTTTATACTTAAAGAAGGAGTATAATGAGGTTTAAAAAAAGTTTCTAATTATGAGACTTTCTAAGACCGCGATAAGTCCATTCACATAGCATCGTACCTGGCCGTTTACCACTGCTCCTCATGAAATGTACAACATGGTCCGCATCCATTGCAAAATTTTATGGACCCTGTATGATATCTCTTTAATGGCATAGAAAAATATGCGATTTTCTTTACGCGGAACGCATGCACCTTGTAGAGGGAAATCACTAAGCGCTAATACAGCGAATGCTCAGGCTCCAAATTATTCGGAAATCATAAAACTTTTTTAAAACCTAATTATACTTCTTCTTTAAGTATAAAATATAAAGAAGACGTGATTCACTATTAATTGACCAAAAGAAAGCATGCTTTTGTTCGGGGTTTCTATAAAATGGACTTGAATTTGCAAGAACATCGAAAATCAATGTGAAAAATGCATGCTACTTAAGTAGTCGTTTTTACTGACTTCGGTTTCCACTGGAGGTTAAAAAGCAGTGCATTCAAAAGTTGACATCCGGCCGAGTCCGAAATGTTATAGGAACATGCCACAAGATAATAAGTATTACAACCTCGCCCAGCTTATCCTTCCTAATCGAAAACGCATTTCAGAATTTCAGCCAACATTTCCTGAGATAGGTCACTCACTGTACAGAAAAGGACAAAAGTTGGACATAAATGCGATGTGTATTGCGACTGTGGATCAGATAACATTGATACGCTCATCTTCGCTACCAATTCATCAGGTTATGTTTGAGGTTGCCTCAAAGCAGAATTTGAATTTACCGACATTACCCTTTTGCTGGCCCCCACGACTTAGAACTTTCACCAATGTCTCGGGTCATTTATATAAAAAAACTCTCCTTCCCATCTTCTAATTTCAGCATCCTAAAGAGCCGAAAGCTGAGAAGCACAAGAAAGTAAAGCCTATTAAGGCGTCCAAAACGAAGGGTCTGGCGAATGAAGCTCCACTGGAAGAAAACAACTCCTTCCTCGTCAGTGGAATCCGACCTTATCCAACAAGTAGGTTTCCTAGGTGGAAAGCAGATTCCCTCGCATTTTTAAGCCGTTGTGAAAATCCAGTCTGTGAACTCAGTTTTACCCATAATCTCATGTTTTCCTGAGCACCTTCGTAAAAAAATAACTGAAACTACTTGAAAATGAGCAAAAGATGTGAGTTAAGCAGTTAATCCACATTTTGCTGTATGATTATAAGAAGGTTAGTATTTTACTTATTATTAATGAAAAAATTGAACTTTTATCCAGAGTACGTGTTATTTTTCGGCAAAACGCAAACCAACTGAATGGCTAACCTACCAAAACAGTCATTTTATCATTTGGGTATTTAAAAAGTGGGCGATGCTAAAATCTTGCATTCTTACTGTCTGCAGGAAACCCAGCAAATCGATCCTGGTACGACTCAAAACTCATCCCCTACATTGATGAAGCAGGCGCATCTCTGGATAATGTCTACGTGCCAGACGGATCGCCTTCAAACGTGTGAATCCGGCCGTCGTCACTAGAAAATACCTCCTACTACTCCTCCTCCTTATCCTTCTCCACCTCCCCCTTCTCGAGCTGACCTAAAACGTTAGCCAAATGCGCAAAGCAACCCCATATGTATATACATACATATATAAAGAGGAAATGTTGAAGAGCCAGCGGTAACGAAATCAGCATTTTCAACATGATTCTTCCCACACCCATCGCACCTACGCACGAGTCTGTCCGTGCAGTTCCGCTTATTGCCAATCGGTCGCCTACCACGTATACTTCTGCCTTCAATGCCACGTTCCCGCCGACCCAAAAACTCTTTCTCCCTAATCCTCAATTTACACAAACACACACACCCACAAACTGGAACGCACCCAGACTACCTGCAGATTGTACGGAGACTCCTATTCTTATAGCAGAGTAGGGTGAATACGCGCTACCCGGACCCTTAAAACAGAGCAATATCGCTTTTTTTCTAACCGTCTGTGTTTCAGAGTCAGAATTCCTAGCTTGCATTCCC